TAACTTCTTGCTTCCCTTGTCATATACTAACTGCCCGTATAAGCCTGGATTTACTTCTGGGCTTTCTATTCTGTTCCATTGATCTATATGCCTGTTTTTATGCCAATACCATATTGTTTTGATTACTGTGGCCTTGTAGTATGTTCTAATGTCTGGAAGCGCAATCCACATATTTTTGGTGAAATAACTGAATGAAATTTCTTCTACAAAGCCAGAGTTCAGCATTTTATGTAAATCCGGGTCTCACCCCACCTGTCATTGCTGCATTCTTTGTGAAACTCTCCTTAGTGATCTTTTAGAAGAGTTGGCTTCCTTAACTAGCACACTGGCAGAAAATTTGGGAGTACTGCAGCCTTTCATTCGCTTTGTCTGTTTTAATGGAAATTGGTCTTTTATCAAACTGTGAAGGTGAAATCAGGGGAAGGGTGACAAAACCAGTTTTAAAATGGTCACTGTCCAGCCAATGAGACAAAGAGGTGACAGGACCTACTGATTTTTATGACGATGAGCATGAAGGAAGGCCAGTGAAACTCCTAAATCCCAGAAACTTTAAGTGTGAGGGCCAACCCCACTGACATCACAGATCCTTCCTGCAGTCACAATGCTGCTCAACCACCCCAGAAAGATGTCCCAGAAACATCATGTTTAGTCAGGATGTGATCAACTTTCTTTAGTACTTTGGTTTTCTGAGAGAGGAAAAAAAAAATCGCTGTTCCCTTTCAAAACAAACCAAATTAACAAAAAGAAAGCCAAGACATCAAGCATCATGAGTTCAGGTATTTATCTCACAGATTACGTAAGATCTCTAAATTTCTCATCCTTTGCTATCTGACCTTATATTTCATAGTATATATAAACAAGGTAATAAATCTCAAAGAAGGCAGTTAGGTGGCTTGGGCACAATAGGGTGAGAAATCATTCCCTACTATTTTAGAACCGTTTGATCTAAATGAGTGCATTTCAACAAAGGTTTCAAAATGTCTAATGTAAGTAGCTGAGATAATAAGTACTTCTAGTTGACCATAGATGTGATGGGGGGGACTTGGGGGGAATTAGGGTAGAGAAGGAGGGAAGAGGGGAGTGTGAAACAAATTGTTCAGAAACTGCCCTCAATTTAAAAGAAATTACCACCACGCAAAAATTCACTTGGCATAGTTCCTGATCTGATTCAGCATTCTGGTTGCCTAGATACAGATGTAAACAACAGTGCCTCTCCGACTGCAGAACAGCCAGATGAACCTGATGGCCCCCTTCCTGGCTCAACCAGTGACCAAGCAAGTACTTTTAGATATTCTTATTAAATCTAGAATATGTTGTTCAGCTTCTTTAAAGCTTAGCTTTGCTTAGAGAGCTGTAAGGAATCCTGGAAGAGCTGTTTTTCTTTTCACTCTACTCACATTTCCTGTTTTTTTTTCTGCTTTGATAAAATGACTGATGACAGCAAAAACTGAAAAGCAAAAGGGTCTCAATTTGTAAATACATTCATTGCACTGACTTTTAATATGTAGGGCTAAAAATTAATAAAAATTTGATAATTTACTTTTAATAAAGATTCAAAAGAAACTATGATAAATTCAAGGTACAGGCGTTCTCTTACATGAAAAAAAAAAGCTAAATAGAATGTTTCTTTATTGGTCCTTGCCTTATCTTCCCCATTAATGGAAAAGAGTATTCAAAGAAGCAGTGTTTTTAGACTTGCTTTGTCATTCTCATAGCACCTAACCAGCTTCTTGTGATGCAAAGAGCCCTGGAAACTATCACAATATCAAGCACTGATGTTTTGTTTCTATTGGCTGTACCACACATTACCTGTGCGACTTTCAGCAATTGCTTAACCTCTCTGTTTTCTCTTCTATGAAATAGATTAATTAAGCCTACCTTACAAAGAAGTGGGGTTTGAATGAGCCACTAAGGCAAAGTTGGCTTAGAAGGTAGGAAGGACTCAGTCAATAGCTATAATTTGAGTGTCATCACTAGCTATATGATCTTAACAAGTCTGTTTATGTCTGTGCTCCTCAGATTCCTCACCTATAAAAATAATAATCTTCAATTCTTTCAGTAATAAAGAAGGGTTTCAGTTAGTTAAGGTAACTAATATTATCCTTTTGGTAAAGATAATGATTCCCACTTACAGAACTGTTGGAAAAATAAAATCACATCATATGCATAAAAGTATTTTATAGGCCATTAAGCCATAAAGGACCATAACATTTTAAAGTATTATTATGAAATAGGTGAAAATTGACATGCATAAAAGCCACACCCATAATGATCACCAAGTTGTTTGAGAAAATTTTTATACAATTACATTCTAGCTTGCAGGAACAGGGATAAACAGAACTGACTCCTGTATTCAATTAGCAAAGATATAAAAATTTACTCTTTTATAAATATATACATAAAAAAAGCATAGAAAAAAAGAAATACGCCACAATGTTAATGGCTTTTGCTTTAGGTAGTAGAATTATAAGTGAAAAAACTTTTTCCTGTATCTTTCATTTTTATGTATTTTTCCAAAATTTCCTCCACCATCAGGTTTAACATTTGTTACTTTAAACTTGAGTTGTAGGTGCATTTTTGAGAGGATGCTATTGATGGTTTTCCAAATAAGACTTAAAAATTAATAAAACATACATATCTGTTTCACTCAAGGAGAAAAGAAGACAAAACCCCAATAATTTAGTGCCCTTGGGTACAATGTTTGTAATACTCTTTCATTCCACAAAAACTTACAAAGGGCTACTAGGCACCAAGCACATAGGTCGGGGACCAGTCAGTTGAGGAAATACCACAGACTCCCACAGGCCAGAGGCAGCAGTAGAGAGGTGAGAAGGAAAGAGTTGGCATTAGTCATGGAGAAGTCAGGGCCCAGAGAGGAAAACTGGAGTGAAAACACGAACCAGGACAGAGGCCAGTCACAATCTTGAGTGAGTTAGGGTGGTTTTCATAATGTGGATACCTGGGCACCCAGTGGATCAGTGTATTCCTCCTGCAGGGGAAGACTAGGCCTCAGAGTGGCAGACCCACTGCAGACCCCACACAGCAGTGGGGCGAGGGGATCTAAAGCACCATCATGTTGGTTCGCAGGCTCCATCCTTTGCAGTGTGGAGCCTGCTCTGGTTGCCTACCACCAAGAGGGCCAGGTCAGGAGAGCCTGACTATTGACAGGTGTTCTTTACTAGCTTCCTTAATAACTGGCTTACCTTTTATTTTTAAGTTTTATTGGAGGAGAGAGAGAGAGATTTCCAATTAAGTTTCCTAGGCCCTAAATTAAGAAGTGGTGGCTCCTTAAGCACTTGCAAAAGGAATGGTTTCTGTATGTGAGTCTTAACATATTCTGCTCACAATTATAGTATACAATAACATAAACCAAGAAAAAATACCCTAGGAACATATTTTGTTTAAGTTTTAAAATGAGGTGGAATGCCACTCATTCTCTCCCTATTGAGGATAAAAATGTGTCCTCCTTTGAAACTTAAAAATAAAAGAACATTAGAGTTGAAAACAGATTCAGCATATGCAAAACAGTGAGTACTGTTTCCTTTTTCCTCCTAGAAATGCTGCAAAAATATGAACTTGCCTGCAAATAGAACTTTCTAGTGGTACCATTTTATTAACTTAAGTGTTCATATGGTCAGCTATGTTTAATACTAATAGGTTACGTGCATAACTGTGCTCTGTATTTTTCTTTCTCATTGACTATAATAATCTGACATCCAGCTTTCTTAGAAAACAAAATTACCTGGATAGGCTAGTTTTCTAATTTTCAGCTTTGTTTTTGAAAATTAGCTGATTCCCCCTCAGAATTCAGCATGTCAGGATATTGGATATTTCATTAAAAAAAATTATCTAAGAGTAATCTATGGTTTTGACCTTTCCGAAAAGTTTTTCCTGTGATACCAAATCTGTGAAATACAGCTCTCCAGTTACTATTGGATATTTCATTAAAATATTATCTAAGAGTAATCTATGGCTTTGACCTTTCCAAAAAGTTTTTCCTGACTGTGATACCAAATCCGTGAAATGCAGCTCTCTAGTTCTCTTCCCAGAACTTGATTTTGGTTTTAGTCTCTAGCAATGCAAATGGGGCATGTGCAAGATTAACTGGGCTGATGGTCTATGATATAAAATATAGTATATATTTTGTTTAAAATTAAAACACTTATATAAGGATAAGATGGACAAGATTTCCCTGTAAAGTAGCTGATACATTCTAAACCCACGACCTCTGTTTTAGGTAAGATTATCTCCAGCCAAAATGTCAACCAAGAATTCTACAGATCTAGTTGAATATGTTAACAAGTAAGTCTGTAAATTGCAACTAGTTTTAACTGTTTACTGTATTTAATAATTCAGTTAGAGATTAAAGTGCCTGAATGAGATCTTTGAGTTCATCTAAACTAATCCTCTGCTTTTGAAAGAGACAGCCTTAAACCATCTCTGAAAGATGAGTCTCTCTATGCTATTCCTTTCTGATTGACAGAGCAAGCCAATTTTACTGTCCCCTCTTTAAATAACCTCCATAGGTTCCTGTAGATTTATAAATAAAACAACACAGGCACTACGTGACATACGACATGATCTGGTATAGTTAACCACGACTTTCAAAATAAACCAAATAAATCTGTTAACATCTCATAATAAAAAAAAATTAGGAAAATTTAAAATATATTCAATTAACCATCAGAAAATTTTGGTTCAGCTGTTTACAGTGCCACACCTGGAGCTCATCCAGCGAAAGTCTGTGAAGAAAAACAAATCTCGGGACTTGGAAATATAACATATTACTGATACACGTGCAATGTCCAAAAGATCCTAGAATTCCAGTTTGAAAAGGCGAGATCACAGAAGCAATGCATATAAATTTGAGTTGTTTTCTATTGCATTTGTCAGCGGAGGATTTTATGCACCTACTAATGTATTCAAGGCACTTGGGATTTAACATCGGGCTTTCTACAATTTTCTGTGTGACCTCAGTCAGTCCTATAATGTGTCTGGGCTTTAGCTCTTCCATTTGCCAAATGAAGAGGTTAGACTCGAAGCTGCCTAGGACCCACTGCAGCTTTAAAATAATCCTTATCCTAAAATATACATCATGACAACAGACAAAAAAAGGACCAAGCAAATGAAATGAGTCAATGTGAAAAGAAAAATCTACATACTGAATTTTCATTTCTAAAAGTACCTTGAACAATGAAGAGGATAAAATTTTCAAATTCACTGATTTTTATTACAGTATGTTCGCAATTAAGAATGTCCCTATTCCTTAACCAACTGAATTTAATACATTTCAAATAGTTCAACCACAGTATTTTGGCCCCTCTTTTCATGCTACCCATAAGTTATATTTCATTATATGATGGTGGGACTATAATTTAAAGAAAATGGAGCCAAACAAGGGAAAAGATGTTTTCTTACATTTAAAAATATGATATTTGGATAGAAGACTTTTTTTTTCCTGAGTTAAGGGCAATGAATGTGGTATGCACAGAAATAATTGTCATCAATGGCTATATTAGCTAACCTTGCCATCCAAGGAGAAAGGGAGACCTGTTTTCACCTGAGTCTCCGCATGACCAATGGAAATTAGAAATCATTCTTCTGACCTATCAAATTCCAATATGAACCTAAGTGGATTTCTTTAGCCCAGGCTGGTGACCTACATTCCAGGAAATGAGAGAACAAATTCCTGGGAGATGGCAACAGACTTAAAAAGAAACCCAAGGAAATGTTTGCCATTTCTTGGATTCCAGAGAAACTAAAATTAAGAGAAAGGGCAAGAAGAGGGCTGGCCGAGTGGCTCAGTTGGTTAAGAGCTCGCTCAAGAGTATGAGCTCTGAGCAACAGCGGTTCGATGCCCGGCCCAAGCTGAGCTGCCACTGAGCTGCCAACAGGTGGCAGGATGGCTCAGCTAAAAAAAAGAGAGAGAGAGAGAGAGAGAGAGAGAGAGAGAGAGAGAGAGAGAGAAAGGGGAAGAAATAGTCCATAATTCAAAGCAAAAACATGAAGATTATCTGGCCCCACCATTCACTTTCTACCTTGATCTCTTCCACAGCTCTTCTCTTGCTAAGCCATATATCTAGAACTTTCTATGTACCACCTGAAATGGTTAGCTTTCTTTTGGTCTCTCACAGTAATCTTCCAGAACAGGCTGCAAGCTCCCAAAAGGCAGGCACTCCATGGTCTCACGCTTTTGATATCCCTACAGTAGCCTGTCACGGCGCAGTCAGTATGGATTCTTGAAGAACTGTAGTTGACAGATTTAATAGAGAGTAATGGTGAGACTTTGAATCTTTAGAACTCTGCTTAGAGCAGTAGACTCCTGGGCAGCTGATTAACTGTAAAAGCCAAATGGCATTCAGGCATTTCAATCAGCACTGCAGATGTTTTGAACTGACGTATTGAATCCAAAAAAATAAACATAAAAAACAATCAAGTTTAAAATGACTTCATCCTTTAAGTCATAGTACTCACTGAATGGCAATGAATTTATCGATATGCAGAGTACTTATACAAGTAAAAGTCATTACTGACACATTAAACTGCCTCAATATATATTACATATTCTCAGAGTTTCTGCCTTATAAACCTATGTGGGTATATGTATAGGTAATACTAAAAACAAATAACAACCACCAAAAAAATTAAAATCTAGCAACAAAAGAGGTAGTAATGCCTAGCCTATGAACAAGGCTTGGCTAGAGATAAGCACATTAAAAAGATAGGCAGACAGAGTGTTTACAGGGCCCTTCTCAGTCTCAGGCAGCTGAAGCAACACCCACACATTATTAGCACTTGTTAAATGTTAGATCACATTAATAATCCATGGGGCAGGGGGAGGCGGAATGCTTGCAATCATTTATGAGACAATTATGGTGATACTATATTGAGGGCAGTAAATAATTCTGATTTCCATATGTTCACTGATTCACAATGAGCTGATTTTATAACAGTGTGTCCAACATTCATTTAAGCTTAATTGAGCAGAAAGTACCAAAGCCTTTTTTTTTCCTTTTCTTCTTTTTTCTCCTGCTGGTGGAAGGAGCACTGCATGGAGGCCAGGTACTTCACGTCTACACCCGAATCTTCCTTTAATCAGCTATGTGACCTTGAGAAAAAGGTCTTCTCCCTGGGCAATCTCTGTACAGTGGGGCTGGATTTTAAGTGAGGAGCCTGAGAGCCAACGGCTGCCTGTGCTCAGGAGAAGACCCAGGTTTCACTTCTAGGATGTGGATTAGAAAGAAGTCTGTCTCTACCTGCTATTTCTCAACTCTGCCCACAATTTCTCATAAACATTCTTTTATGTAATAAAGTAAATGGCTAAGATTTAAAAACACACAATATCCCCCCCCATAGGATTTAATTTTGAATGGAAAACAAATTTTACCCATAGAGCACTTTTTATTTTTTTTCAATTGACACGCCTTAAAAAAACTGTCTCACCAATGAATCAAATAATTTATAAGGGCTCATCCATCCCTAAGATTCTTTGGTTTTCAAAAATTAGTTATTACCATTTTTTTTTTTTTTTTGATTTGTAGACTGAGATCTGTTAGCAGCTGCGAACAATACCCTATTATATTTTTAGCTGAGCCATCCTGCTACCTGTTGGCAGCTCAGCAGCTGCTCAGCTTGGGCTGGACTTGAACCGCTGTTGCTCAGAGCTCAAAGTCTTGAGTAAGCTCTTAACCAACTGAGCCACTCGGCTGGCCGTTATTACCCTTTTTTCACTTAACAAATATTGATTATCTACTATGTGCTCATCACTGTGCTAGGCACTTGGAGAGTCATCAGTAAAAAAAAACGGACAAACACCCTGCTTTCATGGAGCTTCCGGTCTAGCATGAGGAAGGGACACACATTGTTAAACAGTATGACAAGGGCAGGCCTCACTTAGAAGCTGGCATTTGAGTAAAAACCAAATGAGGGAGTCGGCCATCATCTCAAGGCAGAGCAAAGTTTCTGTGGCAGGGACATCCCTGTGGCGTGGCACAAACAGCAAGGGGGTGAAGATGGCTGCAGTGCAAAGGAGGGAAGTATTATAAACTTGAACTATGATGCTACCTGCATCCGGGAAATGAAATTGTTTTGTACTGAGGAGTTGTGCAGGCTGGGCTATAGCCAACATATATCTCAGAAATTCTCTCCGTCATCCATTTTGGGAAGACAAGGGTCTGGCTGACAGCCCAAGAATGCTACTTAAGGTTTGGATACACAAAACTATCAGTAAGTCAAATGGGCAAAATAATCAATGATTAATGATTTCGCCTTGTGATAGAATATGGCATTCAGGATCTGAAAAGTATTCATCTTCAAGGTTTTTTTTCTTAGTACCATGGCAGATATTTTATTATGCCGTGATGTACTGCTTCTGTTGCTACCTGATGAAGATGGATATTTCACATTGCAGTACACAAGAAAGAAAAACAAAACGCTGTTGGTTGAGCTTTCTATGGGATAAGTCATATTTGGTTGGAGATCTTTCAGGTTTTATTTTGCAATATAATATCCATTTTTGAGAGTAACTAGCTCCCAGCTGAGAAATCTTCAAATAGCCTGCACAGCTTATGAAGGAAGGGATATATGGCTGTTAGAAAGGTTTTTTTATTACCTGGAATACTCTCTCCCACCCTGACTCCCTGGCACCACTAACCATATTTATTATTATAGCTTCCAACCTTTACTCAGTGTTAATCATCTCATTTAATCCTCACAATAACCCTAAGAGGTGGAGAGTGTCACTATTTTAAGGATGACAACAAGACACTGGGGTTCAGAGGAGTCAAATATTGACCCAAAGTCACATAATGCTATGACATAACCAAGATTTATCACCCAGAAATTTATGTCTATGTTATTTCAAAGCCTATTTTCTTAACCATACCTCTATCCACACTCCCTGCCAACATACTTTCAATGCACACACACACGCCCTGGGACATCTTCACCCTCATCCTCTCCCACGCAGCATGGAGATGTGATGCAACCGTAGATTTCTGCTCTTCCTCCGTGTGTGCCCCTCTGCAGCATATAGGCAGCCTGGTCTCACAGCATCTTAGCTGCCCCTCAGAGGCCCTGCGGTCAGCCAAAGTGCAGTCTTCTATTCTTCTCTCTCTAGCCTCTTCTCACTGTCCCCTGCTTGTGATGGCTAGGGGTGGACACGGCTGCAGGAACTGGGTGGGCATTACACACAGCACACTCCAAATCACTCAGGGCAGGGGTTTTCCCTGTGAGGCTTGGTCCCTCCCGCCCCAGGCGGCTGTCTGGACTCTTGCCACACCTAAGAGTTTCTGCTCAAGTTG